TTTGAATTGTTGTAATATAACACTTAGAAACATTGATTTATTGCGCACAAAATTCTCAGATTCACCAATAGTGACGATCAAGCTAGGTTTGAGTCTGAAAGCAAACGACATAAACGAAGGCGATGATGTCTATTTCGAATGCGACGTTCAAGCGAATCCAAAAGCGTACAAGCTGGTGTGGTACAAGGACGGGAAGGAGTTACACCAGAACATGACTGCTAGAATTTTTCTTCCCAGCGGGCAATCTTTGGTTTTGCGAAGCGTGACTAGAAATTCTGCAGGCGAATATTCTTGCATGGCTGTCAATGTCGAAGGGAAATCTACCAGCAGACCCGTAACGTTGGAAATAATGTGTGAGTAGTTTTATTCTAACAATTATGCATCCTTATAACATTGTCCCAAAAATCCCTCGCAATCTCAATGCCTCTCAAGTTCTCTTTGGGATCAATTGTCATAATTCCATAACCAAAAAAGGCGAGCGATTAAACTCCGCGTCCAAGCCACGTCCACTTGAATTTTCAGACGCGCCTGTGTGCAAGGACGGGTCATCCACCCAAGTGGTCGGCGCCTTGAAGCACGAGACGATCTCCCTTGTGTGCGGTGTGCAATCTAAACCGCCGCCCATCACTTTCCATTGGACCTTCAACAATTCCGGCGAGCTGATGAACGTGCCGTCCAACAGATTCACACCGGTGAAACCGCTCAGCCTAATCACCAGCCACTGGCACGGATCCAGGTTGAATTATACTCTGGCGAACGACATGGATTACGGGACGGTCGCGTGTTGGGCGAAAAATCGGATAGGGGTGCAAAAGACACCCTGCCTTTTTCAGATCATCGTCGCAGGGAAACCCTATCCCCTTCAGAACTGCACGGCCCTACAATCGACCGGCCCGTACGCGTATCGAATGGGTAAGTGATACTGGAACCCTTCTATCAACCTAAACGCGCCTAACTATGTCATTACGTATCCTCCATATAGGATAGTATCGTAGCTCACAACTCGATAGACCCGGTATTGTGTTCAACAGCTTGTTTTCCGGCATACCCTCGACCAAAGAGAGAGAGAGAGAGAGACAAGGTGTTCGACCGTGCGTGAAAACGATCGTGAAATTAGGCGATCCCCTTTGGGGATCGATTACCGCACGCTCCGAAGGGTAGCCGGTTTTTCGTTACAGGAAAGCGACACTGAAGATGGGGGGATGTTTGGTGTTGGCGAGACGGCACGTTAAATGTTGTTAAAGGATAACATTTTCTTGCTTGTTTTGCTCGTTCGTTGCAAATTGGGGAAAGTTTAAATAGGATAAACATGAATCGTTCGTTTTGAGAAATTATAATCATCGTTATTTGTACATACTTATACTTAGGGGATAATTAATTTTTTGGATGATATAAGATGTATAATATAAGATTGATTTCTGAGCGACGAAATTTGATATTTCTGAATAGCAAATGTGAAAGGATAGATTAAACGCTTTGGAAATTAATAATTTTACACATTGAAATATTTCTTAAACGAATTCAAAATTGCAGAACAAAATATAAATATGACGTAAATGTGATTTTTCTTCTCTAAAAAGTTTATTTATCCAAAAAGGAAATATTTCTTCATCAATTATATATATCAATTGACCAACCAAATATTTCTATAATACGATTTCGAGTAGAGTTTCGAGGATATCCTTCCTCGAGGCTTCCATCACGTTTTTTCTATTATGTGAAATAGGTCACGAGGACTTGAAGGCTACCGACTCGAGGGACGCGGACTGGTTGATCGTCAGATGCTCTGAAGGGTTTGACGGCGGTTTGCCCTTAACTAATTACGAGCTGGAGGTCTACAGCGAAGAGAACGTTTATCACGTCAATACCATCTACCTGAACCACACAGAGAGATCCGGCTCGTCCGGTCCCGTTTTTGAGGTTCCTGGCTTGGAGCCTGGCCGTAAATACAGGCTTCATCTCTACGCTGTCAATGCAAAGGGTCGAAGCGATCCCGTGGTTCTTGAACCGGTCACGCTCAAAGCAGTCGCCATGTACACAACCGGTAAGTTCCTCGAATGTCTGTTTTTTTCACCAGCGTGAAAAATATGGCGCATGCAGCTTTAGAGTTTTTTTATCTGTTGGAACTAACTGCTATTAGTTTATTTTATATTTGTTAGTGCATAAAGCAATAACAAGAAGAACAAGTTTAGTAATAGTGTGATCGATAATGTAATTGAAGTGTAACTGTTTAAAATTTCTTATATACTTTTCACTTTTTTTAATAAAATTTAAAGGCAACGAATATATTTTAATTACTAAAGTATAATACAAAGTATATATTTGCAGCTTAATTACAGCTTGTAGTCTCTTTTAAATGAAGTATTTAAAAATCAGTAGAATAAAAACTCGTTTTAATTAAACTTTATATAATTTGCAATATCTTCTTTTAAACAATTTCCCGCTAAAAATTCCCTGTTTGTTAAAGATTAAAAGATTAAATTTCAAATGAAACATCGGGATGAAAAAGATTAAAAACAAAATATCAAGAAGGAATATAAAATAGAAAAATCAATTATGATGTAAAAGTATCAAATTATTTCTTTTTCATTTTATAAGTATCAAATAACATACTATTCCTAAAAATATTATTATTCTAATTCCTTTAAAATACGGAACACAATCAGTACAAATCTATAAACGCTCCAAAACCACAATATCAACAACCTATTATCCATTTATATTTAGTATCAAATCAATTATAATTTCCTTTTTACAATTACAAATTCATTTCCATTCTCGAAAAACTCAAGAGACGAACATCGTCGCGATATTCAGAGGAATACAGAGAAAGAATCGTAAACATAAGGTTCTTTGCCAACAGGACACGATGTTTTTTATGGATCTCAATTAGCCGGAATTGTATCATGAGTTCAACAACCCGTAACATCGCGGACTTATCTTAGGGACGAGCAATTTTCACGATCGCAATTATACTTGTATCCGCGATAATTTCAACCCCCTGTTTTCCAGAACCTTCGCCTTTTTCCTCTGCGTATGACACGTTTCTTCGTATATTCCTTTCCACGGAGGCTGAATTAAAATCCCATAAAGTCTTTTCCTCGCTCCTGTCTCATTCGAGGCGCATTTATCGCCTTTAATTTCCATCCTCATGATTTATTCATGTCGGCTCGTGGACGATCTCGGCTTGTGTGTGGAAATGCTTCTTTCCTCCACGTGTATGTGTGTGTATGTGTACGTCGCGTATAAATGTACATATATGTACGTAATATATATATATAAGTGGCACAGGTATTTGCAACACGAGCCCATCTTTGGATCTCGGTTGTGTACGTTCCACGGATAATGCGGACCTGGACCACCTCCAACCCTGTCCCCAATCTTCGAGAACCTCTTCGAAACCGTTTCAACCGGTTTCGCCGTGTCCTTGCCATTTTCCACTAACACGCGTATTCCCATAAGGAATTGAAGATTTTATAAATGCGATTGATCGCATTGAAAATAGATTTGTTTGAATTAGAATGTTGTATTAATGTGATTTGTTTATTATATGGAGTTACATTTGAATGAAGACGTATTAATTTGCTTCTGAAACGTAGGAAGTGTAATATAATAATGTGAAGAATGTTTAAAAAATTTAAATGCTTTTGAGATGTTGAGGATCGTAGCTTTGAAATTCTATAATATATTTTTTAATTGATTAATAGGAATATGTATATGTATTCTTAAAAGAATATAATTTTAAATGGATTCAAAATAATAAAGTTCTTATTTCGTGTTTGCTTTTTAAAAATATTTAAATTACGTTTTTTTTATGTTATTAAAATTAATAATTAGATGAAAATGCATTATAATAGATAAATACACAATAATAAGAATATGAGATTGATCTATATAAAATAAAACTTTTCTTCGAAATATCGAATATTATAATCAAAATAATTTATACGTATTTTTATCCGATATAACTGATGAAAATAAAATTTATCAGAATGATTAATAATATAATATTTCTAAGATAAATGATTGAATAATATTACTTTGATATATTTGAATTTATCAAAATTTACCAAAATAGTAATATTTTTATTACTATTTTTGTATTATATTTGCCAACAAATAATGTGAATTTATGATATACATTCATGTTTCATTCAACAGATGCATCCATTTATAATGAAATGGATATTTAACAGATCCATTCGTAAAAATTGAGAATCCATGGTTGTAAATATAACCATTATTTATGCTTATATCCTTCATTCATAATAATGAATTTTGTCACCGTAAAAATATACAAATTTGTCGAGGATACGTAACATTTTAAAAGATGCAAAATATTACAATTGAGATATATACACAAATATTCATTTTTTTTCCAAAATTCAATTTATAATAAAACAATTATAAAAATTATCTGTATTGAAATATATCGTATAATCTTTAACTACATTATTTAAATACATTCAAACGATATAACTTAATTTTCATATATAATAATTACGTAGCAATAATTATAAAAATTTGTATATATATTACCATTCATTAATATTCATCGAGACTTTCGTTATCTAAAAATATTTTAACGTAATTACGTAGAAGCTGTGATTGAGGGAACGGAATGCACAATTTAATCACATAAAAGTCTCACTGAAAATGGAGACAAAAGTATAATATTGACAAGAATATTCTATAACGACTAAAGAGAAATGAGATAATATTTATTCAAGAAAAAAAGAAAAATATACACAATGAAATACTAATATAATTATTCTGATGAAACTTTGCAGATTTATAATCCATTTAACAATATTTTACGCAATAGCTTCTTTATTATTGCAATGAAAATTATCCCCTTAAAATAAAATAATTAAAACATATTTTCTGAATTAAAAAGTTATCAGAGTTAATAAAAATAACACGTGAAATAGATTTTAGAAACGTTCTTTAAATATTCTTAAAAAAATTACAAAATTTCATTATTTTTCTGATAAGACATTTATACAATTCTTGAAAAATCTGCATAACTAACTAATCTATTCAAACCTAATTTACAATATTAATTTAGTATTTTCCTTTAAATTTAATTAATCTTCTTCCGATTCATCTTCATCATCTCTTTCACATTTTACAAACAAATGTATCACGTAGCTTGGAGTCACTTTATATGCAAAAACAACACTTGCGATTCTGAGCTTTTCTTCTCTGATCTCGTTTAAAGTTAAACCGGTGCATTAGAAGTATTTACCCTGATTACAAATTTCCTGTAAACGTTTGCTATATACAAATCAAATTATCTCGGTATATGTTTACCTCGGAATGGATACGTACACATCTGTACAGATGCGCGTAGAAGGGTGTATACGTACGAAACGTTCGTTTAGCTAACGAACCAAAGCGCTTTCTGAATGCCAAAGAGCCTCGGCCATCGTCGTCCTCTTCCCTTTCTTAATCTTTGCTACCGAAAGTTCTTTACGTTTCCCTCGTGATCCGATAAATAAAGGAAAAAGAAAATCTCGTTTACCGGACACGTATAAGATACTCTTCCACCTTGTCGTTCAAGGACGAGTCACGTTCTGTTTCGAAAGGGATTCTAATACCATTTTTTTCACATTTATAATTGACGATACAGCGTTTCATTTTGAAATATATTTCGAACGATATCTCAAATTAGCACGATGTTTTAAAATACCGGTCATTTGGAATTTTTTCTTTTTATTTAATCACATGTTTATTATCGACTTCTTACAGATTTTATTTTATTTTGAAGATAACATTTATGTTTTATAGTTTTTATAGTATAGAAATATTCTTTGCTATAGATTATTTACTTTTCCTGGATATTTTATTCGAAATAAATAAAATCAATCTTCTTCCTAATATATAACAATAATAAAAATATTCTCTCGTCACTTATCTAAAAATAGGTGTTATCAAAATATGTATACGATATAATTCGTGTAATATGCATTTATCTCCGAATAAAAAAAATTGTAATAAAAATCTTTCAAGGAGTAAACGACGATTTAATTATTCGGCAAAAAAGTTTCAAGTTTCTCATTCGATTCAAATTATCAGTATCATAACGAAGAAATTATCCTCGAATAAAAAGAGACGAGAGAGAGAGAGAGAAAGAGGGTGAAGAAAAAAAGAAAAAAAATAGAAAAATAAAACAACGAACGTGAAATTCCAATTCCGACCGAAAAACTTTCCGGAAGCGTAGCTAATTAAGTCGCCGGATCTCCATTACAAAATCCACCGAGTCTGGTCGAACGAGTCTTAATTACGTTTCTAATTGCGCGAACGTAGCTTCAGCTTACCGGGATGAAATTTCGAAACTGGCCGCGGTTCAATAACGAAATTCAATTATCCCCCCGCGAAACCCCTGCCGAAGTTACGTATCCGGGGCGACACCTATGCGCCCGCCCCGATCGGTGAAGAGAAACAAGGGCGCAAAAACTGCGCGCTGACTGGAACGGCGGCGCACGTTAACGATCGTCAGCGATTTTAAAAGGCTCGTTAGCAACCCTTGGGCGCAACGTATTTCCCCCAACGGCTGTGCGCGATAACGATCGTCTTCCACGTTTCAGTCACGTTTCCTTCTGTCCCCAGATCGCGGAACTTCCGACGACAGCCCGGATTACAGCCTTCTGGTGGCGTGTTTCGCCGGCGGCATAACGGCCGTGTGCATCCTGATAGTCGGTATCACTCTGACCTTGTATCGTCGCAGCCATCCGTCGTTGCAACCGATCAAGGCTCACACAGAGGTGGCGCAGTACGGTGGGGGCAAGGAGGACAGGGGGACTATAATGGTGGCCCCGTTGAGCAAAGAGTCGAGGAGCGAGGCGAAGGGGGAGGTGGTGGGGAACGATGTGACCGACGAGGATCCGGACGTGATTCCAAGCAAGATGGAGAAGAGGCCGGACATATTCGAGCCGGGGTACGAGGCCGTGAAATCGGAGAGGACGAAAGATTTCGATCGTTTGGAGGAGTTGGATTATCCGTCTCCCTCGTCCGTGCTGCATACGAAAGATTCGTGGATATATCCGAACGGGTACGTGAAGAAAGTGGAGAGAAGCTTGAGTCCGTTACGGCCGAGCACGCTCCCGGTTCATCGTAGCCACGATATTTACACGAGAAGTTCTCGCGTCCAGGAAAGCTGTATATAGATGGCTCCTATGGCCTGGTTTATCGAAGATCGTGGCGTTACGACTGATGTTGACCAAACTAAGAGGCCACGATTCGTTTTCTAGCACCGTATTGAATTGGTATCTCGTTCGAACAGTTATCAATTTTCAATCGTCTTTTGACGCTTGAATGATTCGTTTCGATGATTTTCGTATTTTCATCCCCCTTCCCCCTTTGGGGAAAAGGTAGGTATTGGAATAACAATGATTTTGAATTTAACTCTCTGTAACGTCAACGTCCCGCGATTTGAAACTTGTGGATATGTGTATTTTGTAAGATTTATTTATTCATTTTATTCTACGTTGTCTGTATTATCGAATTACATTGCTGCGTGTGAAATGGCCAACTTCGAAAACGCGAAAAATTATTCAAGAAAATTATTCTAATAGCTTGTTGAATAGTTATTAAAATGAAACGTAAATGAATTCGACTTTTTAAATTCAGATTTTGATATAATACGTTAAAAGCTGCTCGTCGTGTTAATACGGTTTTTGGAAAAGTATTTGAAAAAGAAAAAAACAAAAGGAGTAAAACTAGTGTGAAAAATTTAAATTGAAAAATCGAAAATGCACCGAAAAATTATATATAACGAAAAATTATAATAACTGTAATAATTATAATCTCGTTTCATAACGGTTAAATGTAACGAAACTGTTTGTTCATTTTTTGTTTAATATTATTTTTAATAAAATTATAAATGTTGAAAGTTTGGCTAAAAGTTGAGCTATTTTATCTACAGATATTTTATTTTATATTATATCCGGTTAATAAAAAATTACAAAGCAAAAATAATTCGGGGCAGCAGCTTTAATTAGACAATATGTATATCTATTTTAACCTGCTTCAATCTATATAAATTTATCGTAACTCATTTTATAATATTTATGCTTTAAAGTTGAAATGAAAATTTCAATAAAATGAAACGTATATATATTTTAATGGATCTTTCAGACAGAAATCGTAATTACTGAAATATACTTTGATCATTCAATTTACGTTGAATCTTTTGATTGAAAATTTTTAAAAATTCATCAAAAGGATAATTTTAATATATGCTCGGATTCATGATTGATCATAGCATATATTCGATTTTAATTTAATCATTTAATTTTCACATATCAATTACCAAATAGCCATTCATAATAATTTCTAGGCTTCGGATTCTCGTATTAAAAATCAATAAACAATAATTTCTTTCCTCGCGTAAAACGTTAGAGGGTTAAATAAAACGAATCGTTTGGGGTTTAACGACTGACATAAAATTTTATACAACACCTTATACACGCTTAAATGGAACAAAGAAACGACCGTGGCTCACAATTCACTCTCCTATCCGCGAAACTACGATTGATTCATGCCAAAAAACGCCAAGCATGACAAACAAAAGTTTTGTAAATAGACAATAAGTATCGTTAAGATTCCATCCCGAACTGTCGAGGTCTTGATCTTATTTTTCACCTAGTTTTTAAGTTAGCAATTAATCTTAAATATAAAGAAAAAAGAAGAGAGAGAGAGAGAGAGAGAGAGAAGAGAAAAGATAATAGACAAAGAGGAGCGTCTTGACGATCACGACGTTTGTATATAGACAATAAATTTTCTTCCTTGAATGTTCGTCTCCCAATCGAAAAGGCTTCCCGTATACCTGATGTCATCGACGGTAAACGTGGTTTCGTGTTGAACATTGTTTCGTGTGAATACTTGATGTATCGTGTGAGAATGAGCGCGTTTCACAGGCGAACGCGTTAACGCTTGGTCAATCAATTGGTCGAACATTTTAACGAGCATGTAAACGTTTGTATATATGAATAATAAACCTTGTTGTTTAATAACTTGAGACCGAGTTTGTGAAGAGTATACACCATACGATGTTGAAGACGATGAAAAATATAATAGGTAAGTAATAGTTCTATGCCTGGTTGATTCAGTTAATCGATAACTAAGCAATAATTGACGAGTAATTTTATTTTTGGAATCGATCTTCAAATTTGACATCTGTGAAATAATTGTTTGTTTCAAATAAAAGATAAGATAATTTACGCATAAATAAATAACACGTGCTTTGCTTTCACTCGTAGCCATTTTTTTTCTTCGACATCAATCTAACCATAAATCGATTTTCCATTCTTTCGTTCGAACGATTCGTAGATATAATCCATCTATCAATTGTCGGAAGATAATAGTCATCAAACGTCAATTTCTAAAGCTTTGAACGGCGAAAAACAATTGGAAACGGTCCGCGACGAATACAGCTTTACATAAATTCGAGATGCAATACCCACTTGACAGGGAACTGTTTCTCTTCCATTAACTCTTCGACGTTTTGGGATATTGTTGACTGATTTCAGAGGCAAAGGCAACGATTTGCTGGACTGGCAGATATTTCGTTAAGCCGCTTATCCCACAGCCGCGAATCTAGAGATCTCTCCCAGTGGCTCGTTTAATGTATAGTGTCGCGATACACACACGATTCATGCAACAGAGATTTTGGTCTGCACACGACTTGACAGAGATCCAGACGATGATGGCCAACGATAAATCACATCGTTAGGACAATGTTCGTCCAGTGAATCTTGTTTCACGCTATCTGGAAATAAATTGCTGGCAATCTGTTCCTTCTACAGGATTCCCTGAGTCGGACATATCGCGCGATTTATTGTTTGTTGCATCGTGACGAAAAGGAAAATATAAATACGATTCGAACAGCAAGTTGATAAAATTTTGTAATTTTTAATAAATTTTGCGAGATAATATGTTTATACTCTTGTAATATAGAGTTTCAGGAATTCGTAATAATTCGAAGAAATTAATATGGGATATATAAATTTGCAATATGAAAAGGAAGTTCATAGGATTTTGTAAATAAAATTTTGCACAAGTAAATTAGACTGATTGAGATTTAAATGAAAATTTTGGATATTTTGAGATAATATAACGATTTCTGATATGAGAAAAATTTTGTTCATCAAATAATTTTGAATAAATTAATACCAATATAATGCTCTGCTTTAGAATTGTAGATCGAAGAAAAATATCTATAATTAAAATATTTGAACAAATATTAAGTGAATCGTATTGAATGTAATGTAAATAAATGTCAAAAAAAAAAAGAGAAAATTTTCACCAATGCAAATACACATAAATAAACATTCTATTTTATTTAAAATTTTCGAAGCGAGTATGCATTATTCGTAAACCTTTGTTTCATCGTGTGAAGTTTTACGAGAACGAAACGAAATGTTTCATTAATTCAAGATTTTTTTTCATTAGCAACTTTATTAGTTGGCTTGTACCATTATCAACTTATACGAAACGTGTATTACAAACTCGTTCAGTCTTGCAATTAAAAGTTTCGTTAACGTTTCAAGTACATTAGGAGGATGTGGCATAATTAAAGTTGATAGGATTAATTAATTTTTCAAAATATAATCTTCTTTTATCATCGCGATTGAGTACAAAATATGCACAATGGATGCTTTTCTTTTTCTATTTAAAAAGAGAAGTTTATTCTCTGTTTTTATTTCGTTTATTTTTTCTTAAAATTTCTATTTTGTATAATATTATTTATTTTAAATATATAACAATTCTTTTCTGACTTTTTTTTGTTCGTATAAGATTAATTATTTTAAATTTTCTCGTTGTTTTATTTTTTCTAACTGATTAATTTGTCAAAATATGTAGAGCATGATAATATATTTCGTAGGAACAACATCCACTTCATATTTTTAAATTTTAATCTTTTATATCTATAACCACACTCGATATATTTTAATTTTTTTTTTTGAATGATTAATGATATTAATTCAATCAAAGAAAAAAATAATCATGTTCTGTACATCCACTTTAACTATTATTACAAAATATTTCTAGATCACGTATGAATAACTAGGTAGATATAAATAATGAGCTTATCACCAACTCACGACAATATTTCTAGAGTAAATCAAGACGCTGATATAGCGGCTGGTTCTTTCATGCTCGTTCCAAAATTTATGACGGACGTCCTAACGTTTTCGAACCTCGTAAATTCTGTTCTTGTCTACGAGGAAAACACAAGTCATGTATTTTTCTTTCGAAAAAACTATTTTCACGATTGGTCGATGAAAACTTTTACACATAGATGAATCAGAATCAGTAGCGAATAAATATCCAAATTTTTTAAATTTGGGGATGAACTTTTTCCATTTTTAACAACAATATAATAAAAAATTAGATAAAATGAGAAAAGAAGCTAATTTGAAAATCATTCCACAATTCTATAACTAAAATCCAAAATAATCTAACTCGTTTTTTATTATTCATCAGTACAAAAAGATTGTAGCATCTTGTAGCATTAAAATTAAAATCATTTATTAAGCTTAATGATGAAATGATAAATATAATTTGAATTTTGAAAAAAAATAGACTTAAATCTCTCGAGTACAATTTCAATTAATGAAATATTTCAAACAGTCTATTTCACTTTTATTCAAAGATGTGATGTTTAAGTCAATCTATAACTTGTAACGTAACTCACATTTGGTGACTCAATCAAACGAAGGAAAATTTAGTCCGTGGACAGATCGGTCGAGATATTTCGCGGTCGTTGATTTGGAAATTTAATAAGAAACGGGGAGGAAGAAGGAAGAGGGGAGGCAAGACAAAGAAGGGAGGCCACCGGATCGTTCCTCTGGTTTTATCTCCGTTTCCATTTCGCCGCCTTCTCCTTTTTGCACCCTGTGGATCCTACGTCCATCCTGGCGGAAGACTAATATCCGCGCGCTCACATTAAAAACTTAATTATAAACCTGTACAGAGTGATTTGTTTCTGCCTCAGTGTTCGAGTTAAGGATGATGTCTTGATGACGATCATTAGAAACATTATGATTTAATAAGATATAAAAGACAATTTTTATGTGAATTGTTGAATGAAGATATTGCTTTTAACTGAAAAATTATTATGCCTAGATTGTTTATAGATCTATTTTATTTGTATTTCATTATGAGATAAGAAGGTATAAGATAATATAATCAAATTATATTTCTGCAATGTAATATTACTATAGATTTGTATTAATAAATTTTAATGTCCTCTTAATTAGGGAAAAATTATAAAATAGTTTTTATTAATGGACAAATCAGAGGATTATAATAAATAGTTGAAACGAAATATTTAAAAA